ATAGATAAATAACCAAGCTGATTATATTTTTTGAAGGATTATTTGGTTTTGAAGCATTTACCCTCAATTAACAAGACATAGATGATATATGAATTCTAAATGGTGTTGTTTTGATAAACTAATAGCTTCAACTTTCAACTAGGAACAATTTTGCCTCTGAGAGAATACTTGGCGATGTCTGGAAACATTTTTGGTTGTCATAACTGTGAAGAGATTACTAGTATCTAGTGGGAAAAGGCCAGGGATGCCCCTAAACATCCTACAATACCCAAGTGCTGAGGTTGATAAACCCTAGTTTAAATATATAACTACTATTATGACTAAACTATTCCACCTCAAAATGTTGAAGCCTTAATCCCCACTACCTCAGAGTGTGACTGTATTTGGAGATAGGGCCTTTAAGAGGTAATTAAGTTAAAATGAGTTCATTCCACTGGGCCCGAACCCAGGTCGACTAGAGTCCTTATAAGAACGGTAAATTTGAACACACAAAGAGATGTGGGACGTGAATGCATGAAGAAAAGATCACATGAGGATGCAGAGAGAAGGCAGTCATCTATAAGTCAAGGACAGAAGCCTCTGAAGAAACCAGACCTGCCTACCCGTCAGTCTCAGGTTTCTAGCCTCCAGAACTGTGAGAAAATAAATTTCTGTTTTTAAGTCACCCAGTCTGTGGTATTTTGTCATGGCAGCCCTAGTAAACTAATACAACTATATTGCAAAACAAAAAGTCACTATATCTTTCATCTTAGTTACAGAAAATTTTCCTGCCTTTAGGTTCTCCCTGGCCGATTCCTTCAAAGCTCCTCTGCCACCCCAGTGCCTTCGAGTTCTTTCCCCTCATTGCTTTGCCTTCTTCTCAGTGTTATCAGTTGTGATCCTTAAGATGCCATGTCACGGAGACATGGATAAGGCAGGTTGTTCAAGGTCTAAATGTCACTCTACCACTTCTGTAATATTTTGGTGACTATCCTAAGTGCGATATAGAAAACACTAACTAAAAAAAGGTAAAGTAGAGGAAACCTAGCTGAAAGGAAATCCTAATGAATTACTTAAATTATGAGAGAGGAAAAGAATGATAGAGAAAGTAAAGATTCAGCCCAGTTCTTCTACTCCTAAGGATCAAACATGGTTCCCAAGCTCTGCCGAGGCACTATGCTTTCTGACGTAACAAGATGACAAAAGAAGTGGATTTTTAAGCCCTAAAAATGCATGCTTAGCAACAGAAGGAAGAAAATATAATCAGGTTAAACAAGAGTGGTTTTACCTTTGCTGCGATTTTCAGAGAAATCTCTCTAATGGTGCTCAAAGGAGGATAAAGTCGGCCCTCTTCCAAGTGTTTATCTGACACTTGCTGAGCTATAACCTTAAAAAAAGAAACAAGAAAGAAAGAAAAAATATTTATAGTTCACATCATACAATGTGGTGGTTATGAGGATAACTAAGTGAACGGTCACATATTCTGTCATGAATAGAAGCAGATCACTTTAATGTGACCATCTAATTTCGTCTCCCTCTTTTATCAATGGAAAAACTGAGCCCAAAGAGGCTTGGTGATTGATGGAATCACACAATTAGCAAAAAAGATGGGAACAGAATCTGGGTTTCTTCTTAATCCAGTTCCTTTTCTACTGTACCGTGAAATGCTAGCAGCTTTCCTATTTGATACATTAGAGGAAGGGGAGAAAGAGGAATAAGAAAGTTAGAGGAGGATGATAGAAATGATGGAAAAGGAGCCTGACAGTAAAGGAGAGGAGGCATCCAAGACTGACCACGCCGTTACTCCCAGCTCACAGGAGGTAGAGCAGTAGGCTGAGAAGTAGGATTTTAATTTTATGCAGATTTCAGATTACCTGAATCACCTAACTAGCATTTGCTGCCCCAAACCACTCCCTATTTCTAAATCAAAGAGTGTATACTTAAATATTTGCTAAGAAGGTAGATCTTATGTTAAGTGTTCTTATCATAACAACAAAATATTAATAATAAAGAGGGCAGGAAAAAACCTTTAGAAGCAGTGGATTTGTTTATGACATAAACTGTGCTAATGGTTTCACAGGTATATACTTATCTCCAAACTCATCAAGTACATAATTAAGTATGCACAACTTTTTATATGTTAATCATACCTCAATAAAGTGGTTTTAAAAAATGAAACAAATTGACGTCCTGTGCCTCCTAATGTGATGCACTAGAAGGAGACAATTATCAGGCACACAGTGCTCCTAACAAACCACACAATTTGAATTAAATCATGAGGAAACAATCAGATAATTGAGGAACACTAAACAACAACTGGCCTGTACTCTCTAAAATGTCAATGTCATAAAAGAAACAAAAAGACAAATATTCTTGCAGATTAAAAAATTAGTCTAGAGGCTGTAAAGGTCTTTTTTTAATGGATAATTGGTAAAAATGGAATTTAGACTGTACATTAGATAACTACTATCTAATGTTAAAGTTCCTTAATTGGTAATGATACATGAATCATATAAGAAAATGTCCTGAAATATTTAGGGATTAAGGGGCATATCTGTAAGTTGCTTACAAATGGTTCAACAATAAAATACTGTGTGTATGTACATTACATATTATACACATATATATAATAGTGCTGAGTTATTTATTGAAACTACTAGGGCACAGAGGTAGACTCAGCAACCTTAAAGTTCCCTCCAGCTTTAAGACTTTAAGTCTTTTAGAGGGGTGGGTCGAAACCAGTATATATAGCTGAGTTTTTATTTAATAGAACTATGAATACAGAGAGGAAGTAGAAAACCTTTCTCATTTGAGATATGCTGAATAATCAAATACTTATTTTTCAGCATCTTTAATATCTTTTAGATTTTTTAAATGAAATTATTTCTGAAATATTGTTTCGTTGCCATCAGCAAATATGAAAGACATAACATTACAGAGAAGTTAAAAAGCAGTTCCTACCCTTGACAGATATATAATTTAGTAAGATAACAAGGTACAGGAAGAAAAAGAATACTGAAAGAGATGGCCTTGTCTAAAAAATGAAATGTGAGTGTTAAGAAATCCAGAGGAACAGTAGAGGGAGCTTGAGGGTGGAATCGAAGGAAAGCTAGGAGTCAAACAAACAGGAAAAGGCGTGGGCACTCCAGAAAGAAGTCAGAGTCAGACCAAATGCAGAGATGTGTGAGCTGGACTCAGTGAGCCCAAATGTCCTGATCTGGGGGAGCAGAAGATCCGTGTGGAGAAATAAGGATTGGAGCACTGTTAATGCAAATTAAGTAGTTTCGGTTAAGTCCTATGGGTGACTGAGGACTTTTGTACAAGGATTTTTAGGCAGGGGTTGGGACTGGAGAAAGGCAAATTTTTACCTAGTTTCCTCTTTGGTGATGTAAGGCTAATAACAATTCCTAATTCATAGGATTAAATGAAATAAATGAATTTAAAGATTTACCACACTATTTAGTAAATGTAAGTATAAAATAAATCTTAGCTATTTCATTTAAAAAGAACAGACAGGCAGCCAGCATGGCAGAGTGGAAGTAAAATAGCTTTGGGGGTCAGATCTAGTTCTATAAAATAACAGCTTATTAGCTATTTGATGTGGAGGCAAGTTATGTAACCTATCAACTTCAAATTTTTTCAATGGTTTATATAAAATAATATGTATATTATTCCTATCACCCCTAGCACATTGCTGGTATTCAACATCATTGGTTTTTTTCTCCCCTAGAATGTTACACAACATCATTTTAAAGAGACTGGGGAAAGTCAGAAGATGCCTGAGTACTGGCTCATTATTTCGAAACTCTTTGCTGCTTTTGATATGCTATTGGTGTCTCTAACTATATTGTTGGCTACCTTCAAATAATCTCTCTTTGTTTCATTTTGACAATGTTATGGTAACTGGATTTTCAGATGCCCAGTGACTTAAAGAATCAAAGTTTCCTCCATATGCTGTTGTCCGTGGTGATCATCTCTGGTGTCTTCTGGGAGATATCAGAAAGGGGTGGGGCAAGGTTGATGAGAGGACACAAAGCAGGCAATTCAGGAGGAGTGGTGAAGATAGGAAGCCAAGGTTTGTCTCCCAGATGTGGGAAAAAGGGGAGGAGTCAGCTCCCAGACTGCTGTACAAACCATGCTCCCACCAGGATTGCTGACCCAGGAGAGCACTGAGTGTTCGTTCTCATCAGAGATCCAGAAGACGGTCCAGACTACCAGGAAAGCCAAAACTCTGTGTGATATAAAAGTGTCCAGGAACAGTCTTTGGGAATGGTGCCAATCCATAAGATTTCTGATTCCATAAGATATCTAACTAGTATTTTTATATAATCTTAAGTTATTAAATTTAGAGTTGTCAAACAAAAAAAATCACCTAGATCTCCTCCATGTTACTTTTGTTAACTATAAAATATACTCTAGACAAGAACTTTCTTCTTTTGGGGGCCTTCTAGCAGTGAGTGTCTCTGGTACTGTATTTATTCTTGCTATGATATATGACTAGTTCTATTTGTTTCAATAAGTATTCAACTTTCTGCTTTGTGCTTTTAGAATTGTGCTAGGTGCACCTGGCATTTCAAAAGAAGTACATGGAAGTCTGTTTTTTGTTTTTTTTTTTTAAAGATAAGTTATAATTACAAAGCAACACTTAACTGTTTAAAACATGAAGCTCTCAAGAGCATAATACAACTAGGAATGAAATTAAATGTCGATGTGTTTGATGAAGACAGCCATGACTAACTAAAGAGAAAGATTAAGATGAGCCCTAGTAGTCACAAAAGGATGCAAGGATGAAGTGGGACTTAGTAATGACCTGAAGGATAGGCTTAGATAGGTGGGGAACAATTTTTAGAGTTTTCCAAGCAAGAAAATAGATAGAACACTTACACAGTATATATATGCATGATGAGTTTGGAGGCTTTGAGATGAGGGAGAATGAAAAGAATGTCTGGCTTCTAAGCTTTGATGCTGGCTTTGAAAGGAGGTGTCACTAATAGAAATGCAAATATTGAGGGCAAGGGAAGATGAGAAATATAATTTTACATCTTGTGTTTAAGGAAACAGCAAGGCATTTCTGTGGAAATATCCATCAGGTAATTGGAGATATAGAGATGTACACAGATTTGACTGCATTAGAATGAAGATAATGGAAACAAGAGAATGGATTGCTCTGAAAACAAAGGAAAAGGAGAAAGAAAAAAGGACAAAAAATAAATGCTAAAAAAAGCTGATAGTTAACAGAGACATGTAAAGGAGACAAGAAAAACAATGAGGTGGTATGAAAAACAGGAATATTGTATTGAAGCCTAAAAGAAAACCAGTGGAAAAGCTAAAAGATTTAGCCAGAGAGATTACTAGTTATGATAAGAATAACTCTATTGACATCAACATATTTTATTATTTTTTCTTCAAAGTTTTTTGGTATTACTTTACCTAGATAGTAAATTGAAAGATTTTTTTTTCATGAATTTTGTCACTAGAGGGTGCTGGAGTTATTTAGAAAACACTAGGCACTATGAATAAAAAATTGGTTTTTTTCTTATGATGGTCTGCTATAAAAGACAATGATTACATTTTCCTTAATGTAACAACTTTGAAAAGCTTCTTTAGTCAATAGATATCTACTTATGTCTAACAGCATTTTTTGAGTTAAAGACACCCTGAGACATCAGCTGTCACGCTTTTAATGCAGTGATAAACAAGAAAGAAGCAGAATATTATAGCTTCCAGACATCTGTTCCTACAGAATGATGCCAAGTGCATTGGGATTACACTCCTTTAGATCCCATCACAAAATAAGAATCTTTGTTGATATTTTTAGAGTTCCTCCTCACAATAGAAAGAGTAGTATGTGTGTATGACGAAATATTTGAATAATCAATTGTTATTTGCTTCAGTTCAGATATCTTACAGTGGTTTAATTTTAAGAAAAGAAATTCACTCAAATTTCTTATTTATAAATTGTATCGTCTTCAAACATGATATCAACCAGGGGTACATTCTGATTGTCAAAAGCTCATATTTTACAAATATGTGTCCAATCATTATATCATCTCTCTGAGGAACAGGGGCCAAGGGGAACTGATGAGAACATGAAGTTCATGTTACCTCTTGTGCCATACGTAATAGAGTCCTTTGTCTCTAACAGTTTTGTGTCTTTTGCCAGCATTTCTGAAATTGTGGCAGGTTAACTTCATGAGCTTACAAATAGGGTAAAATTTCAGGTCTTTCACAGTTCTCAACAGCAACTTAGTAGAGCTTCCCTAGTGGGTCTGTTCTGTGATGCTCTGAGAATCTTTCCTGAAGGCCCACACTAGAACCCACCTCTGTCTTTTCAATGACTCTATAAAAACCTAATTCCCAGTTTTAATTTCCTTTCTGCTTAAAATACGAGAGTAGTTTGTGTTTCCTACATTAAATCTGTATGATAAACACTTCTTCAATATACTGAATCAGGCTTTTATTTTGAATCTTCAAAATGCTATTATTTAGGAAGGTTCTTAATGAAGAAATATTTACCACTTAATCTATGAATTGGAAACAAAATTTCTGTCTCATTACTGTCACAGAATTTGATTGGAAGTGTAAAGATAAAAAAAAAAAAAAAGGAGTTCCAACGCTGGCTACTGAAGAATAATCTTACTTGTGACTCAGTATGAACCTGCTACCCACCCCTTATTCTCCACTGAGAAATATTTTCTCTTCTTCGGCTATATCTTCTAGGGAGTGAGCTGAGATGCTAGATAAAGAAAACGTTAGACAACCTACACTGAGCTAATTTGGTATTTTATAACCTTGGCGAACTTAGAGTATATTACAATACCTCAGCAGTAGTGAGAAAAATTTTATCTGCGATATGTCTCAATCCACATGCCACAACACCAAGAGCAACTCCAGGAAACACGTAGGAATTGTTGCCTTGGCCAGGGTATAAGGTCCGTCCATTTGGAAGAGTGACTGGATCAAAAGGACTGCCACTGGCAAAAATTGCACGTCCCTGCAACACAGACACACAATTTTAAAACAAAGTAGGATATCTTAAAATGAATGTATTGTAGCAGAACTAACCCATACGAGTATTGAAAAAGAAGTCTAATTTTTCATTAACTCTCTAATAAGTCTCAGCAAGCTTTTATCATGTTGGTAATATGTTCTGGAGGGGTGGTTATCATTCTTCTCTATCTTACTCTCTACTCCTAAGAGAAGTGTGCAAAACACAAGACACCCCAAGACCACCACTCTATTCTCTGCAGTGGTCCAACCTAAAGGTCTATCAACTGTTTCTATACAGGCTTCCAATTATAGCCTTCTGAAAATAAAAATAACAGGTTAATATTAGAATATTAGAAAGAATGGCATTTTAGGTTAGAGTTTAGGAATCAACACATTTCAATGCAGTCACTGGAACAAATTTTATATATTTCTATATTTTTATATATTTCTATATTGCAATATTTTTATATATTTCTATATCGCAAAGAATTATATGGAAAATCATATAAGAAACAAACTCAGCAAAGTGGGATTAGAAAATAAGATGATTAAATTATCAATAATTATCAAAAACTATCTTCATTTTTTCCTTGTCTTAATATTTTGTCATTATGTTTTTGAGGAACCTCATGGATCACATGCTTTAAGGTGGCATTAACATAGGGCCTGTTAGGTGCTGCCTTCCATACTGCTGATCGAAAGAGAAGCATGTGTCTGATCACGGAGGGTGAGGGTAGAGATAATTAAGAGCACCAAGGGCTTCTAAAATAGGAATAGAAAACCTTCAACAAATAAAGCATAGCAATCTAAGAAATGCATTTGAAAAATCTACAGCACCAAATCTCCAAAGCATAGTTTCAATGATGATAGACTGGGTTATAACTTTCACCCTCTTACATCCAGACTCTAAATCCATTATGATATTAACAATATTAACTTATTCATTTTTAACAAATGTCACAAAATACATCTGTATAAAGGTAAACTGTATAATATGCTTCAACCTTATTCAAAATATAAAAAAATTGAAAACAGGAGAAAAAATTTAAATTTTCATCTAGGTGTCTATAAGACACTGTTATGGTTTGCATAAAATTAGATTTTATTTTTGGACAAGTCTGAGATCTTCAGCTCTGTTTAGCAGATAAAGTGTTTTATTACAATCAACTTTCTAATGTAACTATTTTTTAATATATATTCAATATATATGTATATTTTTTATTTGATATATATATACCTTTAAAAATTTATCTTTGAGAAAGAGACCTGCACATTATATCTACGCTTATTAATCTTCCTCCCCTCCTTCATTCCTACTCCTCCTAATCTATTGTTCTATATTCATCATATTTTATGGAGAAATGGTATTAAATACTCTTATATACATGAATTGTTAACCTGGAGAAGGAAATCTCTCCATATCATTTTTGATAAATTATAGTTTGTCATGGTTCAATAATTTTTTTTTTGGTATTTCGTATTTTTAACCTTTCCTAATGACTTTTCTCCTGTGCCTATAGCAACGGATATTCAAATCCAATAACAGGTAGATCTTTTCTTGTTTTGTAATCCTTTGACTGAATCGGTGTTTAAATTTTCAGCCTCAAAATGACTTTCATTTTATATATAAGAACATAAAACATTAGGCAAGATCAAGAAAGAGTTTAGGCCATTTGTACCAGGTGCATTCAAACTTAAAAACACAATATAAATTTAGCTAATTTTGTTTATGTCTATTAACTCTTGAGGCCTACTGAGATATAGAAAAACAAAACAATTATATCAACAATCCTTTATTATGGGCCTACTATATACAATGTACCATGCTAAAATTTTATTATTGTTCAGAGGTTTTTTTTTTTCCCCTCCTTTAAGGATTTAAGGACTACTGATGGGGCAAATTCCCCAATCCACAGATGAGATAAAAATTTAAATTATTCAGGACATTGAGGCTATCAGAGTAGCTCCTTGCCAAAATTTCATTAATTCTAGTAATAAGCATTTAAGTATATAATATTGATGAAATGAATCCATCGAGCTCTGATTTGTGCACAGTAACATAATTTTGCATCATGTTTACCTTTTTTAGTTCATTTGGAATTTATTTCTAAAATAAATTCTGTAAGATCTGTATGACTCAACCACTATTTTGTTGTCATGACATTTTCAAGTCTTTGAAGGGAAAAAAGGCTCTTGTCAGTCAAATATATATTAATGCAAACATAGAATAAATAAGTCACTTTTTTGAATATAGTAAAGTATTGAAGTTTTGATGGCTCCTATCCCAGCCTGGCTGGATGTCAAAACAGCTGCCCAAATGCTCCACCCATGGCATCAAAATCCAAACCCAGGATTTAGCAAAGCAAAAATAAAATTGTGGGTTTTATACTGTGTGCTTCAACGTTTGAGAATAGCTAGTTAAAAATTATTTTAATAAGCATCTAGAATCAAGCCTTTTCCTTTTTAACTTTTGTTTAAATCTTAAATACTTCCAAATCACTTGAGAAAAATTATCAATAAAACATTATAAAGTTTGTTTTGCTTTATGAAAAAAGAATATTTTTAAAACATGCTAGAAAAGGAAATAGTTCTTAACCTTTCTGACCTATTCACTTTTCTTTCAATCTTGATTGTATAATTTTTAAAAGTTAAGTAATAAATAAGCACCTTGGAAATTTGGGGCTTAAAAAGAATCAAAATTTGATCATTAAAATATCAGTTATATTTTTTCTTTACCTTGGTTAGTTTATAGCACTGCTCTGCGGTACATTCTGCTTTGCTGGTTGGATTACTCAAAGCAAAAATAATAGGCCGTTCATTGAGGGCAGCCATTTCTTTGAGAACTTGTTCTGAGAATGCACCACTGATTGCAGCAACTCCTAATGCAGAAATGAGAAACCAGTGAATAGGACTATCAAGAAGCCCATGCCCAAAAAACATTGAGATGTCAGGTCATTTTCTAATAGACCCTAAAGAAAATATAGAATATTTGTATTAAAGTGACAAAAAAGATAAGTTTGTTAATGCCAACAATCTTTAGGGTTACAAATCTATAAGTATTTACTTAAAAATCACAGATATAACATTTGACTCAAAATACACTGACCTGGTGACCAATCACTAGAAATTTTAATTACAAGCATTTATAACAGGAAATTAAAATGTGTCCAATATATATTATTTCTCTACAAAAGAATCAGTATATTTCAGTCTCTATAGCTATAAGGTAATTATGTTTTATAAACCAGTGTTAACATTTAAGACAATCATCCAATTCAATTTAAAATTGAACTATGATGTATTAAAAGAATTTTAACAGAAGAATAAAACAATTTGTATAATGAAAATGAAAAAAATGAAAGATTCCTGATAGAACATATTTTGTTAAAAAAAAACAATAAAGGCTTACTACAGTTCCTGTCATAGAGTATTTGTTTTCATTATGGTTATTATCATCATCATTCTCAATACTGTCATTTGTTTCACAAGAACTTCTAGGAATGGAGTAAGATAGAAAGTAAGGGCTGACATTATATACACACAAACAAGAGATAAAGTTTCATGACTTTGTTTTTTTTCAACCACATTTAACTTGACCAGAATAAACATTTTATGGTGCACATGCTATGTGTAAGCTGCTGTATTAACTGCTATGAGCAATATAAAGATATGTGCAGTGTGGCCCCTGTCTTCAAGGAGGGTCTAGTTCATTGTATCTCAACCTTGGAACTATTAACATTTGGGGTGGAATAATTCCTTGTTGGGGGAGGGGCTTTCTTGTGCACTGTAGGATGTTGAGCAGCATCCTTAGTCTCTACTCACTAGATCGCAGTAGCCCTGACCTCCTGCTCTATTCTCAATTGTGACAACAAAAATGTCTCTAGACATTGCCAAATGTTTCCCGGGGCAGGGAGCAGAGGAGCAAAATCACTTCCATTTGAGAACCACTGTCTATCTGGAGTAATCAAGCCTGGAAAAATGCTGAATATGCCAGGTATTAACAGGTTGACAGAGTTGGCAGAAGGGACCATACACTTCAGTTTTGATCAGTAAGATAAAGAAGATAGCATGAATTTACAATTCTAGGTGTCTTGGGGTACTGTTGCTTCAGTAAATGTATAATTTTGTCAGTTCCAAAGATTAGAATTTCAAAAAGCTAAATTAAGCCTCAAAAATCAGTAGTAAAATACTAATCAGGCCAATGTGGGGTTGGGATGGGAAGAAGTTTACCTATGAGAGCAGTTGGTTTTATTTCTCGAACAATGTCTTCTAGGTTCTTCATTTCTTTATGTTCATGGGCAAATTCCCCTTTCTCTTTTGTTAAGGCACTACGTCCCTAGGTAAAGCAAATATAAAAAAATGATAAATCTGCCAAAAATATGCGCATCAATAAATTTTGAAATATTACCCATATTACCAGAATTTATGCTTAACATTTTTATGTATTACAGCTGTTCTTAAAGTCTCTTCTCCAGTTATGAGAGTATTATTTCATGCATTCTTTTAACAAATATTTATGTTTCAGAAAATGTTCTAGGCATTGGAGGTACAATAATGAACAAAATAAATTTTTTCCCTTATTTTTTATTTAATATTAAAATCTTAATTCTACAGATATTTGTAAAATACTGGCATTAACAAATGGTAATACAAAATGTTATTTAAATAAAGATATTGTTTACTAAACATTATTTGTGTTCATACAGCATAATGCAGCAATGTCTTAGAATGTAGAGTTGGTTTCAGCTGCAGCACTGCCAATTTGTGAACCATTAAGAGGGGAAATTGATGCCATATTTATATCATAGTTTGATATAAATTTTCTGAATAACTTTTAGCTTTACATTTTTATTTTTAATATTTTGATTACTAATGTCCCATGTGTTATCTAGTAAACATCTAATTATAACATTTTAGTTGCAAATTTTTAAGATTTGGATTATATAATAAATCCCTGCCTAACTTTATATGGTATATGGTACTTTATGATTTATAACTTGTTTTCACATATTTTACTTGATCCCCTCAACAATTTTGAAAAGTAGGGCAAGTGTAATTAGAATTATTTTGCATGAGAAAACAGAGTTCTGAGATGTTAAGTGACTTGCCCAAGGCAGATATTAGAACTCAGTCTTTCCAATAATACACACAGTACAGCCCTGGAGAAAAAGCTTTACAAATAGTATATGACAGATTTTTTGCAAATTGTTAATCTTAAAGATAGTACAGTTTTTTTGCTAAAATTGTTATTATTTTATTTCTTTTGAAAAGTAAGACGTGAATTATTGATAACTTGAAACATATGAACCTCTCTGTACTTGTTTCATCTATAAATAAGAATAATAAAAATTTCTACCTCATAAGTTTGTGAATTGAATTAAATAATACATCTAAAGCACCCGGGACTATGTCTGAGTTCAACAAGAGCTCAATGTTAGTTGTAATTAAAATTATTGTGAAGAAGAAATAAATCATAATTCATATATTTAGGCTAGTAGACTCTTCATTTCAGATATCTTAAAACAGCACAGACATAATCAGGAGGAGACTTTGCCTTAATAAATCCTTATCTTCCAGGAAAACCAGTGACCAAACTATTAAAACCAAGTAAAAGTGTCTATACAATTTTTTAAAATTCATAGTAATGTAAATTCTAGCATTTTTCTATATTTAAAGCTTTTTAAAATTTTCAACCAAATTCCTGCTTACTGCAATTTAAAACAATTACTTTTTGTTTAAATTCGTACCAATACCCCTGAATAATCATTTGCATCTGAAAACAGATAATGAATCACACTGTCTCCTTTTCCAAGTGAGGAACCCCAATGCCTTTAATCTGTTCTAACTGGACCCACCTTTCTTCCCAATAATCAATGAGGTGGCTTGACTCTGAACTCTCAGATGCAATTGTCATCCTTTAAATACCACAGAACTAAAGACAATACTCCATCAAAGGAATAACCAATGTTGAATATGGTCAAGGAATTATCATACTTCCTAGAGCATGCTTTTAATGTTAGATTAATGCATTCTAGTATCATGTTTTCTTCAATAACAGTAAAATATTATAATTAATCTTTACCAGTGGCTTACTTTGAAATAGAAAACAGGAACCCCACTGAAAGAATTGTAAAAGAATAGAACAGTTATAAGATTTTTAAGAATATTAACAGAATAGGAATAAAAAACACTAAAATTAATTTTAAGAGGAAACATGCCACCAATTTGTTTATTTAAAAAAATGCTTAGGCTCACCAAACAATAAGATTCCACACAATCTACAGTAAAACAGCATGGCCCACAGCATAAAGTAGAATTACAAGGTGACAGTAAAGGCTTCCTGAAAGCATCTGGACGTTCCTTGTCTGAAAGACAACTGCTTCTTGACTATTCGAATACTGAAAAACCACATGACGATGAAAATAGTGTACCCAAACTGCTTCTGGTATACAGTTCAAAATAAATTTGCATATGATCTCCATAAAAATGGAAATTCTTCATTACCAAGCCAAGAAGTAGCCTCCCCATGAGCAAATATAACAAGCAGAGAAGTCTTAGAAATGATTTTATTAGCAACCAAAATAACCAAATTCCAAGAGGTACAATATGAATTGTACTATTGCTACAAGCAACATGTAAATAAGAGGATCTAGTCTGTTTATATTGAATGTGAACCTACAAATCCATAACATGAAATAAATTTCAAAGATGTTGAATAATCTGAAAGTGAGAGAGACATATTCTCCATTTTCTTAATTCAATGATTGAAAGTATTTTCCTGTGTGCGGTGTTCCAAATTATTCAGAACAGCAGATTTAAAAAATTCTAAACATAGCAGTTTACCTTTGAACAACATGGGTCTGAACTGCGTTGGTCCACTTACATGAGAATTTCTTTCAATAAATACCCATTCTGTTTGCAGCCCACAGCTAGGAATCCATGGATATAGAGGACCAACTGTATGTATTGTTCTATGGCCTTTTTATATAGGGACTTGAGCATCCGTTTATTTTGGTATCCCTGGGGTTCCTGAAACTAACAACCCATGGATATCAAGGGACAACTAATTTGGGGGGGAGTCAAAAGTTACACTCAGATTTTCAATTGTGTAGGGGTTGGTGCCTCTAATCCTAGGGTCAGCTGTATTTTACAGTGTTGTCCTCGTAACTGTTGATTGTCATTAATATATCATTAGTTTGTGATTTTTGTTGGCTAGGGAGATGAATAAAACAATAGCAGCAGAATGCATTCTAATAGTTAACAGCAGGTAAATATTACTTCTGAGAACTTTTAATGACATTCAGAAAAGTAAAGCTCCCCAGTTAGATCCAGACAACATCTACAAATGTTGGAGACAGAACATGGGACTAAGGCTCAGGATAGCACATTCATTCTCATGATCTTGGGCAATTACTTTGATATGTCTAAGAATTTTGGTTTCCCCATCTAAAAAAGTGGTTTGGATTGATGATGATGACAGTGCTGATGAAAATGAGCCAGATCTGTGATTTCCAAAGCTAGTGAGCACCAGACTCAACCTAAAGAAAAATAAATTCCTGAGCGCTGCTTCTAGAGATTCTAATTCAATTCCGAGATAAGGCCCTGTAATCTGTGTGTATTTTTTTTTAAGCTTCCCAGGTAATTAGGATAATCAATCAGTTTTGAGAATCACTGTACTAAAGGACTTCCCAGACACATTTTACAACTGTATGTGACATGTTTTCAAAAAGTATAATAAAATCATGACTTCTAAAGAAGGAAAGCTACAGAATAATGTAAATTAGCAATCACAGATTTTGAGTACTGCTTTTTGGCTGACAACCTGAAATATAGTGAAAAATATTTAATGTGGATTAAACTCTCTAAATTTCCTGGAATGAGAAGAAAATCATAAAGAAGATAGATAAACATTGTCTGAAAGGATAAAATGTATGCGTTTAAGTGAACATCTTTTTTTATCAGTTATCATAACAGCACTAGCAGCTCCTACCCACTGAAGCCAGAACTTGGCCAGAAGACATCCATCGAGTAAGAAATATAAATTACCTACAGCTTCACTCCCAAAGGTTTGACTCTTGGTGGTGATTTAGGAACGCTGGAAGAATACTGAAAGAAGGCCAGGAATCATGAAATGGTAGTACTAGCATTACTGAAGGGCTTTATTTGCCCAAAACAGAAGAATCAAAAGACAAAATAAGTCTCCTAAGTATTTTCTATACCATTTTCAAAGTTGATACGATATCCGGTTTACATTAAAAACTATTGGAATGTGACCTTTTCTCGATCTGGTAATATTAAGGTAACTGTTCTTACATCTTTGGACTTCTATTTTATATACCAATGGCTCATTTTTCTCCTTTTTTTCAAAAGTTAATTTGGAATACACATTCTTTATGCTAATCAATTCAGTTGGATATGGATATAAATTTGCTTTCTCTTCATGCTCCCTTTCCAGGATCCCTTGCTGAAATGCTTTCTGCTATCTTTTGGCAAAGTGTTTATAGGCACTTCTTATCTCAGAAATCCCAAATTCTATAATGTTTCTTTTTTATACATGTCTCTAATTACACCAAGTATATTTTGGATAACTGGGAATTTCTTTTCAATGTTATGTCTTTAATCTCTGTATCACTTTATTTTGTTTTGATTCTTAGTACAGGATATAAGATACAACCATAATGAATTACTACCTTTTTAAAAGCACATATGTTCTAGTGGGCATGAGAGGATAGGCGGCAAAGAGTATCAAGATTTTGAGTTAGCATTCCAGGAGAAGTATAAAAAATTAATTATAGATTGCTAGATTGCCACTAATAAATCTGTATCTTTCTACACACACAGAGACTAGAACTCTTTCATAAGTGCCTACCTTGAATCCATGGCTGCCTGGACAACTTGCCCCATTTTACTGACTTGTTTTTCTTTTTTGGTATGTCATTAGTTTACCAGAGTTGAATCTGGCCCTTCTTCGGATCTGTAGACAGGGCCTATCTAGAGCACTGTCAGAAACATTTCACTACAATACTTGAGATGCGGGTAGGTGTGCTTGTTAAAGAGTTCAGAGTTGTGTTTTGCCTCAGTATAGATTAAAAGATAAATGATATGACAAAAAGTATTTACCATGTTAGAGCATAACAAGGGGTACAGGATGTCATAGTTTAAGATAATAGGTGGTTAACCCCATCAATATTTAATTTCATGTTGTTAAGAATTAATATACATAATTTTCTAACTGTCTAAAAAACTCATGTTCATAATCTTTTGTCTCTGCTCTTTTTAATACATACATATACATTGATCATACTCTATATGAAATGAAAAAGAGAGGAAAAAAATCAAGCCAGATACTTTTCACCAAGTTTCAAAGTCTCTTAGCAGTTAAAAATCTTTTTTTAGACCACAGTGGACGAAATGTATTAACTATCAATCAAGATGGTGATAGCATCACTGGCTGAAACTCTGATAATATCCCAGAGAAAAGGAAAACTTTTTTATAATGGAGTTTTAAGACCAAGACCTAAAGAATAAGCTCTCGGGAAGGAAATAAAAATGCTGTCAAAACTACTTTTACAACATATAAAATACTTTTATTCACTAACTCTTTCTATACAAACATTTAACTATAAAGCAAAACAAAATTTAAATAAAATAATTCAAAACAATTATTTAAAACAGAACAAAATAAAACTAAAATCAAAACAAAATTCTATAGTCTTACTCTGGGTTAAATGAAGTCAATCCTTTATGATATCCATTAAACACTCTACTTTTTATTTTGAATTTTCTGTCATAGCATTGATTTGGTTTATTAGTGAAAGCAAGAATGTATTTACTTAAAGAAAACATTAAGTCTGAATTGGTTTGTTTTATGGCTTCACATTCCAAATCATCCTCGTGAAATGCAAATACTAGTCATGCTGGCAATGTTCCTTTTTCATCCCTTCTTTACTGTCTTTACTCTCCCTCTAATTTTCATTTTGGGAGGATTTCTTTTAAACGAAATATCAGTTTGTTCATATTAAAATGTATTAATATTAGTTGGCTCCACAGATGTCAATTTTCTTGCTATAAAATACTAAAGTAAAGCTCTTTCTCTTCAACTAGGCAGCCAAGCAGTCTCCCCAGCAAATGCAGAGATGCAGATCTTCGTGAAGACACTGATGGGCAAGACCATTACACACAAGGTCGAGCCCAGTAACACCACTGATAACGTCAAAGCTAAAATCCGAGACAAGGAAGGCATCCCACATGACCAGCAGTGTCTGATTTTTGCGGGCAAACAGCTGGAGGACAATCGCACTCTCTCAGACTACAACATTCAGAAAGAGTCCACTCTGCACTTGGTGCTTCGTCTGGGGGTGGATTCATCTAGCCCTCCCTCCACTAGCTCGCCCAGAAGTACAACTGCGACAAGACGAGCTACCGCAAGTGTTACTCCCGCCTGCATCTTTGTGCTGCTAGCTGCTGCAAGAAGTGCAGCCACACCAACAACCTACACCCCAAGAAGAAGGTCAAATAAGGCCCCTCCATCACCTCCTCAGTCCACAAGGCAGCCACCTGCCCAAACCCCTTAGCCTGGGGGCCTCAATAAAGTTTCCCTTTCTTTGGAAAAAAACAAAAAACAAAAACCCTAAGATATTTAAGTATTATCAGGGAACAAATAATTTTAATCAACCTTATTGATATTGATGAATTATTTAAAATGTTGTATTTATAGCATAAACTCATTCTGTTAAACATATGGATATGAGGTAAATTATGTAAAATGCTATAGATGTATGTTGAAAATGAAAACAAAAAACATGTTAACCTAAAACAAACGGTCTGATGATGATATAATTCCATAAATGAGCTACCCTTATAATTTACTTTTTAGTTTTTGGTTTTATGTCTTAAAGAGTGAAGGAGTTTGACTAATAAAAATTTTTATTTGAAACTTGATATTTTTTACATATTATAAACAATTACATTGCTAGTTAATAAAATCAACAAAATGATTATTATTGGTTCTCAGGAGAGGTTGTAAAAAGTACTAAGGATAAAGGAGAACAAATAAAAATATCATGTAAATTTGAAAGCAAGATTATATTAATTTACTGGTTATTCTGATTAGTTCCACAACAAAAATCAACATAATAATTTTGACTTTTTAAAAATGAAAGAAAAAGTGGCTAATTGAAGCTTCCAATGTTTCTTTTATATTAAATAGCTCACAAGCTATTAAATATATAACAACCTTTAGAATGTAATTTTATTTACCTTGGCAAGCAGAATATATGCAGTTCTTTTTTTTGGCAAGTAAAGGACATGAAGTAAGAGTGACTGATTAGGTCTAGGCAACAACTTCATTGTTATTCCAACTATTATAATCCACGGAATTTGGATTCTCAGTTCAGTAAGTCTATGTTAAAATTTTTTGAGATGCTAAAATCCATTTATTTTTATAAAGATTTCACATAAAAAAGTCACTAGAAATCACACACAAAAAAAACGTGATCATAGATTTTCACTTTTTTTGGATTCTTGAATGTATTACATCCCTAAGCACAGCATGATCTGTATAGCTTTTTCCATGGCTCCAACTATTTACATGCTGATGATCCCCAAATCTCTATCTCCAGAAGCCCAGACTCTTATGTTGAGCCTCAATCGTATATCTCCAACTGCCATGGGGTCATCTCCATTTGAGTTTTCCACAGGAACTTTAAACTTGCTATGTCCAAAATCGATATCATCATCTTTCCCTTAAACTGGACTATTTATTATTCCTTTCCTACATTAATGGGTGCATCAGCTATCTAGACACCCAATAAGTACTGCTAGATATCTTCTTCTACTTGATCCTACTCTTCCTTCTATATTTAATTGGTTACTAAGTATGATAATAATCCTATTTCATAGGTATCTACTGAATCAAACTTTTCACTCACCCCCATAGTCACTGCTTTATTTCAGGACCCAATTAATTTTTATCTCTATTTTTTCAAGAGCTTTGTAATGAGCACTCTTTTCTCATTTTCACCTCACTTCAATCCATCCTCCATGATGCCATCAGCATGACAAGAGGCAAACCTCTTCTATTTCTTCAGCTGCTCATTTTCAGAATTTAGAAGCACCTTCATCACCTGTCATCTGCTTCCTTTCAAACTTAATCCCTAAATGTCTTTTATACCAAAATATTTTCTTTTGTGAATGCTATTCTTCTGCATAGAAGGCCATTCATTAATTAATTCACTTATTAAACTATTTATTATCAATTAGGTACTAGACACTACACAGGGCTTTGAAGATATAAAGAGTTGAAAGACACGATCTTTAAATTCAATCAAGATCTCATAGTGAACTTGCCACTCTACTTCCCTTGTTTTGGATATAAGAAATTTAAGATGTTTACAGGGGCTCCAGATAAACTCTTAGTTCTTCCTTTTAAACTCAGCTGAAAGACACCATGTCTGAGGACCTTCCTCAGCATTCTTATTATTCTCTTTAGTGAAACTGGAAGCGTCATCTCTGTGCACCCCTGGCATCAAGGACACATTTCTATAACTTTTTGTGTGTGTGTGTAGAATTGTAACTCCTGGCTGGCTTGAGTTTTCCCCAGGAAGCTATGAGCCTCCTGAGATCAAGGGCCTTATTGTGTCCCTAGAGTCTAACACGATGCCTGATCCATAGGCGTTTTCATTCAGTAAATATTATTTCATGACCACAATATTTGTAATGTGACTACAGCATACAACTTTTATAGTTAACTGATACTGACTCTACAAAGCAACAGAAATTTTTAAGTCAAGAAATCTAAAACTTTGTTTTTTTATATATTTTAAACAACTAAATTATAAGTTAATATGATTAATAAAATGATTTTTGGTTCTCAGAAGATGTAAAAATGCTGTCTTTTCACTGCTTTATAGATATTCATTTGCTAGAAAAATTATGCATATACTTTTTCTTCATTTAAGGTAATATTTGACTATATTAATTTTAAAAAGCAAACATTTTTATGTGTTCTTTAAAGGAACACAATTACTAGGAAAATTTGGAATATGAAGAAAGGCACAAATTTTTTTTAAGTTTTAAAGTAATATGTATTTGACGTTTCCTTCTATGACTTTTATATGCAACCCAATTTTTAAACAAAATAGTTATATATAGATGGTCTTTTCTTTTTCTCACCTAACATTATATTATGAATCTTTTAATGTTATTTATAGTTCTCTGAAAACCATTTTAAGCCTATATATTATACTCATGTGGATATTCCAAAATTTATTTCACAATTATCAGTTATTTAGGTAAGTATATCACTATTGTAAAAAATGCTGTGATACATCCTCATACATAAAACATTGTACACATCTGTATCTTATAGGATATATTCTTAGAATGGAAACTACTGGATGAGAAGCATAAACTTTTAAAGGCTCTGGATACACATAAAACTGTTTTCCAGAAAGTCTGTACTCATTCGCATTTGTTTCTATGTTAAATTCTCAAAGACTCTGCTTACCACTGGTTATTTTTAAAATTCATCTTCATGTAAAAAGGGGATTTACATGTACTTTTTCTACCAGTTTAAGTTAGAGTGTTAGATGTGCACGGTTGGTAGATAATAATGCCTTACAACTGTGTAGCAACATAGTTACTTACCTAGTCTTATTTTGTTCTCACAATAATCCCATGAAGTAGGTACTATTATCTCTACTAAAGCTGGGGAAACTGAACTTCAAGTAAGTTAACACTGAAACATGCCATTTATTAAAGCCTTTCTCAGAAATTCTCATTCAAACCTTCAAGAATTTGGTTGAGAGAAAGTAGCAGTTAAAAGAGAAGCTATTTCATTTTTTCTTTCCTTTCTTTCTAGCTAGTATGCAATTTGACAGATAGCCCTTTAAAAAAGGAGCTGTACCTAGGTGTTTCATCTCTATCAATATCGAATTTCCTTATTTGGAAACTAAATTAATTCAAGTGGACTGACAACCCACAGAGTTGTAAGGAGCCTACTCACCTCACAGATAGTTTATATAGCTGAGCCATAGTTTTCTTCTTTATTCAGAAAAGTATCAATATTAATTACCATATGACACAGTCAATCCAGAATGACATATTGATTTTTATTCTGGTTAAAATGACAAATTCTTACCTTAACTATCAATCCTTTTGAGTCAACCAACCATATCTTTCTTCTAGCTTTCTCCTTTGGTAAACCTTCTTTTTCCATGGCCATAATAATCAGGTGCGCAATCCCTAAGGCAGCCTAAGAAAGAGGTATGAAAACAAAAAGTCTTCAAGTTGTTTCACATAATATCAGGAATTACATTTCACCCCATTTTGTCTTTGTTAATAAGGAAGTACAAAATAGCCCTGTCTATTGACCTAAAGAACTATATTCATTCATTTATACTGGGAGCAAAGTATTTTTGCCACATTTGGGTTAAGCTAAATGACAATTATTTACTCTTCTTATAACAGAGCCACACTATTATGTGGCTTTCTATTTAGCCGCAGATAAACCAGTAATATCTTTGAATGCTAGTATCTTTAATCCTGTTAATACAATTAAGATTTGCTTCAACAAGAAAATATTTAAAATAATGAACTGGTCAACCTTGCTTATTGGACTGTATTGTTTATTGTTGGGTTCAAGCTCCTCTAATTGAATTTGAAAAAGGAATCCTGGTCATTTGGATGGGAACCTGACCAATTAGGTGATAAAATGAGAACATGAAATCTGTGTTCTCAAGCATTAATTTACTCTCTTAATTTGGACAAAGAAAGTACTGTGAAATTTCTTGTAAGATTAAATAAATGAACTTCTTTGGTATTTGATAAATTTTGTTAAAATCTGTGAAATTTTCAAAACCTTATTAGGGACAAATAATTGCCAGTTTTGAATTATCTAGCCATGAATACTACTGTCCTAGTGAGTATTAAGAACTGGACTGTTCCATTCAACAAAATCCTTTGGAAATTCAAAGAAATTTTCTAAAATTAAGTACCACAAGTAACAATCCACGGAAATAAAAAACTCAAATTTTAATGGACTATTATCTAGCCTTGATTTTTATTTCGACATGAAATGAATTTGTTATTTACATTCTGAATACTTTCACATGTGTATAATCCTGGCATTTAAGTTCTAGCTTCATATGTTTTGTTTTATTTTAAGAACAAGTAAAATCAAAACCACTACAATACACACAATTTCATCCAGTATAATATATTTATTAATAATCATATTAAATTTGAAAATTTAAAGTTTCTTAAAATATATATAGTATTTCTCCATTTATTATATTCTATAATTCTAAACAGATTTTGGCAGTTTTCTCACAAGAAGCTGAACTCAATTGACATTTTAATTTCTATTTTGGGAGTAAATTATTATTATCAGAGTCTAGTTTTCTTCTTCCAAATGATTAAGTTATAGAAAAAAGATAACAGAAAACAGCATAATTTTGTCTTGCTGCCATCTCCTTCCAACAATATAAAATGTTTGGGGTATTTTTGGTGTGTGTTATAATGCACAATGTCCCTAATTCAAAATATTTTTTTCTTAAAAACTTGCATATAGTTATATATGTGCACATTGAATTGTCAGTCAAATTAAGAAAACTTTTGTATATGACACTGGAGGATACTAAAAATTAGCATCAGCTATAATAGCGCTTAAGTATTTCTTAAAGGCTTTGATATATAAGGATACATTGAAAACATTTTTGTTATTGCATGGTACCTTAAATATGCATAACAAAAACCTATAGCAACATTTGATACTCTTATAAATTAAAAATTGTGAAAAATATCTCTATACTTCTATACTAAAGTTTCATATGAAAAATTAATATGCCTCAATACTTAATTTGTGAATCTTTCAATAAAACCTAGTTACAATATACTAAAAATTTATAAGAATACCTCAAACTTCAAATTCATGAATAATTAAAAGGAATTCTATGTTCATTAGTTTAGGAGGACTTAAGTATTATAAAAGGCAGGTACCTCTCCAGCTCCTTGGAATAGTATTGTCTGATCAGACAGTTTGTTCTTGGTTATTCGAAGAGCTGCAAGGATACCTGCGACTGCAACAGATGCTGTTCCTGAAACAATAAGCAAACTTGAGAGGTCTGAGATTTGGCAGGATCTTTTATCTTGCAATCATCATACAACAGGTTAACTGGTACAAAAAGGGAACCTATGGTTGTCTGACCCCATGCTTGCATATGAGGTGAAATTCTCAGGCTATTGACATCAGTATTATAATATATTCTTGAGACTTTCCAAAAAGAAGATTCTGTGACTTAATTTAGTGATGTAATGAGTAAGAGCACGGAGTTTGGATTCTTACATGGATTCCAGCTCAACCTATTTACCAGCCGAATTCATTTAGAAAAATATTTTGTACATTAGTTTCCTTACCTGTAAAATAATTGTACTATATGAGATAAAAGAGTACTAAGTGTTATTAGATTCTTCTACCTAATTCCTCTTGGGGATCTGAAATCTATTACTGATCTTCCCTATACAAAGTAGGCACATAGTAGGTGCTTGTTAATGGTGTTGGTGGTAATGATATATTTGATACACTTGACATTTAACGTTTCAATTTGAAAAATTAACAGTAAATAGCAATTAAAATCTAATATTATTGCATTCTTTAATTGACCTCCTACCTATGATAATCATTGGTGGAACCTAAAGGTGCTGGACAAAATTAATGTAAAATTTATTTAATATAAAAACTAAGTTTCCCCTATGGTCACAGAAACTTCACCAGTTCAAATTTTATTACTCTTCCATATAAGCTTTCACAGATCATAGAGTAATTCTTTTGCTTTGAACATAATTACATAGCTCAACTTCTTTATGGCTCACGTCTGAAATAAAACTTTGCAGTTTCTTGCAGTACTTTCTAGCTGTGTCTACATTTTACTTCTCTAAAGTTACATTATACCTATAATGATTCCTAGATCACTCCGCTTGGTGATAAAGACTAGTTAAACTTTAAACACCCTTATTTGGTTAAAAAAAATAGATTAAAATAGGTTTGATGAATGACACATGATGAAGTGTTGTATATGCCAAGTACCAAAGACATATTAAACATTTCGCCATCTGTATATTTGTTCCTTTCAATTTTCTGATTGTTTCTTTCTTATAGAACTTTGTAGACAAAAACAAGATCACAATAAATGATAATTATAATTATTGAAGACATGTATGTCTTTTGCATGTTTCTTATTTAAGAATGAAATGTGGATTGCAAAAGTAAAATGCTTGCAATTTTGAGTCACCATTACAATTAATTCTGAACTGTAGTAACTTATACATTGTGAAAGGCCACTCTTCTATAGATTATTTAAAATGGAAGCCTATTTAAAAATACGGCTGATCTATATAGGAGAGATACCATGACAGGATTAGAATGGTATTTATCTCATATATAAAAATATTCACTAGAGTTGTTAAACATATGAAAAAAAGAATTTTAATTAGAGAAGTATAGATATCCAGTCACTAGATAAGTAGTTATTCACAAATAGTATACCAAGCTATCTCTATCTCAGGCTCTTCTGAAGTAAGTTTGCCAGAAGTTTGGATTTGAAGGACTCTAAGCTCCCTTCCATCTCTGAGATTCTATCATTTTAAGGGTCTCTATAGATTCTAGCAGCACCACAAGATTTAACCAGTGGAAGAGTCAAACTGAAGCGTATTAGCGATCACTGTATTTATATTATTGTTTTGATTTTAAATAAATCTGGGCATTTAAGGATAAACAGAATAAAATATTCCAAAAATTCCTAACTACAATGTGGTGACTTACATGGTTATGCTAGGTCATTCTGTATTAAAACTCTGATGTTTTTCAGACATATTACCCCCAAATAAGGCAAAATAAGCCTACTTACACTGCGTATTAGAGCCTTATATTTAATTGTATATTCTATAATATTTCCTGAGGACATAATGAAACATCCAAACTCTTCATAGAATTAATAATATCACAATGATATTTTTAGCACTACTAAAAAGTTAACCTGAACATAATTCTTATACATGGCCTGGTCTGACTTCCTGATACTACCATGATTTAAATTTCATTGTAATCAAGGGAGTAAATGTAGCAAGTTGATATTTCCTAAAAGTGTGAGTTTTCACAATAAATTATTATTAAATAACTTTTGTTTTGAGATTGAAAATTAAATTTTTAGTAAATCAGATAAAGAGAGGTTAACGTTTATCTTTGCATCATCACTGTATTTTAAAGAGTAAGTACTCAGTACTTAACATGGTTAGTAAGATACTAAAGAGATTCAATAGTCTTAAATTTTTAGAATCTTCTATTTGTATGTTTATAATACAACTTTAACATTAAAAGAAGTCACCAGTTATACTGTGCTTTTGCTATGGTTATTAAATTTCAATTTTATCTTTTGTCAAAGAATGATCTCTAATACAATAATTTATTAAATCTGATTAGAATTACTATATATACACTATTAATATGCTATTAATAAAATATAAATAGGTCAGGTGAGCTGCAAGGACTAGAAGCAGGAGGAGGAGGAGTAAACTTGTTTAGGCAGGACAGGGACCAAGCCATTTAGAGTACATACTATCTGAGTATAGCATTGAAGGATTAATGTGAGAAGTCCAGGATCTCAGATAGAAGGATATACTGTGCAGGAAAAGCATGTGCAAAGACATGGAGGCAGGGATGACTGTTAAAACTGCGAGACTAAACACATAATTTAATTTTCTCTCCGCCCAACAAACTTTACTAAAACAATATAAAGGAGATTTATTTTTTTAAATATTAAGGATACCAAAAGAAAAGGATAGCAAAAAAATGTTAGAAGCTAGAAGGTAGATGGGCAAATGGCAGCTGTCTTAGTAGACTTGAAAAACTGAATTCTTGGCCAGCTGTGGGGAACGGTAAGAAGCAATCAGATTCATATAGCAAAAGTCTCAAAAGGCCTTAGTATAGAAGGAACTTTGGAAGAAGTGATGAAGACGAGGCTAAACACAGGAGGCTAGTCAAAAAACTATTAATAGTCTCTAGATCTGCCTCACTCTTCTTCTAGCAGACAGCTGAACCTCCCACACTCTGGAGGTTTAGGAAAAAACTAGGAGTTTCTTTTCTAGAGAGGATCTCTGGACTGTAAGACACCAGGCATAATTGTAAGACCCATGAATACTTGAGTGCAAGGGTGCCATGCTTGAAAACAAGACTAAATGAAAGTTTACATACTCAATGTGGAGATCCCCATTCTTCTTCTACTTGGCTTAAAGAATATTGGCAGAATGCTAATTTCAGAAGAGAGACTGGAAAAATCTTTTCTGTGGATTCTGAGAGGTGTAAGAGGAAAACAACAGAGGCTGACAAGAGTTCTTTAAGGAAATGGTTCAATCAGGTCACCTAAAGCTATAGACATACAATATAATCTCTATTTGTATACCAAGCCTCTCGAAGTATAAGGGGGAACATTGAACATACGTAAAACTGTAGGTATTACAGTGTTGCTGAAGCAAACACAACTTATTAGAATACAAAGTGACATGAGGCTAGAGGAATGTAGGGATGAGATCACGCAGGGCCCTCTACTACAAATTCGTAGTAACTATATGTATAATTACAATTTACCATAGGTTAAAGATGGTTGCTGAAAGATTCTAAATTCAGAGAGCAGTGGGGGAAATGGATTTGAGAGTTTTGAGGCTGCTAGTATGTAGACAAATTAGGAAGTCACTGCAATCACTGATGTATAGTCTTACAATTATTTTTTATAAACCTGACATATGCAAATTCAAGAAAATTTTAATTCATAAAAAATATCTCATGCCATGCTTACTATTTTAACATACTTTTAACATACTTAAAAATGTCTTACAACTATCTTTTCATGTCAACAATATATTTTAAAATATTATATGAAGTTATAACATCCCATAGTATAGATATGCAATAATTTATTTAACGAAACCTCTATTATTTGATATTTAGAGGACTTTTGATATTTTGTATCAAAAATAACATTACAATAAATGTCCTTATCTGAACAGACATTTGTCCAGAGACATACAAATGGCCAACATAGACATGAAAAGATGTTTAACATCACTATCATCAGGGAAAGGCAAATCAAAACCACAATGAGATATCACCTCACACCTGTTAGAATGGCTATTATCAAAAAGACAAGAAATAACAAGTGTTGGCATGGATGTGGAGAAAAGGTAAGTCTTTTGTACTGTTGGTGGGAATGTAAATTGGTGGAGCCACTTTGGAAAACAACATGGAGGTTCTTCAAATATTTAAAACCAGAACTACCATATGATCCAGCAATTCCACTTCTGGGTATTTATCAGAAGAAAATGAAATTACTATCTTGAAAAAATATCTGCCACTCCCATGTTCACTGCAGTATTATTTACAATTGCCAAAACATGGAAACAACCTAAGCTTACATCAATAAATGAAGAAAATGAGATCTCTCTCTCTGTCTCTCTGTCTCTCTGTCTCTCTGTCTCTCTGTCTGTCTGTCTGTCTCTCTCTCTCTCTCACACACACACACACACACACACACACTGGAATATTTTTCAGCCATTAAAAAAGAAGGAAATCCTATCATTTATGACAACAGAGGTGAACCCTGAGAATGGTACGTTAAGTGAAATAAGTCAGACAAAGAGGATGAGAATGTTCTTTTTATGAATCTGCTAAATTCTGATGATCTCCAGATTATATAATTAAATGTCCAATTTCTTAATAGATTTTTTCCAGTTAAAAATAATTTATACTTATAATCCATTAAGGTCTAAATAGATTTTGAACCAAAATCTCTATCATTTAAGATTATTTTAATAATCTTAACTATGACTATGTTTAGTAGAACTTTAAGTATTGTTTAAAATCAAATGCTTTTCATAAAATAATGTCTTTAAATACACATCTGTTAAAAAAAATAGAAAAAAGTTTCTCCAAGTGGCCAGTGTAAAAAATATTTATTTACATGGTAAGGCTGTAATAGTTATATAATTATTTTCATTGGCATTGGAATGCAATTTCTGTGCCCCCAGTGGGGAAAGTATTACATTTGTGGGCAAAATGGTAAAAACATAAGGGTAAAAAGGTAAAACAGACACATACGGGGGAAATTTCTAGTCAGAACCCTAACTGGCCAAGTGTTTTCTTTAGAGATTAGACCTATTTTTCTGAAATCCTTCTTTTTGTTGGCTAAGGTAGTAATTTTCTAAAATTCCTATGTGGAAATAGGTAGACTGTATATGTGCAGATTATATTTTAGGACACATTAGTTGGAAAGAAAAACTAGTTATTTAATGACTCCACTGATGACCTGCTGGAGGGAATATTCTGCTGTAGATTCTCTGGGAAACTCCACATGCAGTGCTTTGGCCTTGGGTTGGCAACTACCTCAGATTTCCTGTGCTCTTGATGCAACCCAGGCCTTCACCTCTAAATTCCTGGCCTTAATTGATAGGAATTATGACCCTAATTCCTAATTACTCATTTTGTTTGACAACTGGTATTCTTCTTTTTAAACTGAACTTTGATGTCTGTTAATTCTGCATAGTGACTCAAAATTATGTAATACTGATTTTTAACTTCTATATGGACATTTCTGTGGGACCCACAAACAAAAAAGATATAGAATATTTTTTAAAATACAGTAAAGATTTATTTGACAGTTAACTGGTGGCTATTGTAGAGACCATTGCAAAGTGAATTGATAAGTACGTCGAAACACTGATCTTTAAAGCCTATGTTTGTAGCATCTAAGGCACTCTCTATCATTATACATTAATTGTATCTTCAAGTTTAGGTTATAGTACATTAAAATTAGACTGTTTTTACTTCATTTCTGAATGCCTCCAAATATTCGCTTCTTATAAACAAATTCTTAAGAAGAAATTTAGTACAAAAAAGAAAAAAAAGTTGAAATTATGTAAGCATCTTTGTCATAAAAATGACACTAATGATGCAATTAACATCACAAAGGACCTGGGGAAAAGAAAGATTTGACCAATTATTTTAGCAGGCATCAAAGGTATAAAGAGACTCATTATTTTTAAACATATTATATTTACTATGTCATATATAGAACTTGCACAGAGAGAATTTTAAAAATCATGTTTATAATGTACAGTTCAGTTGATAGGGTATTTTCACAAATAATCATTTTGTCCTCAGTATAAACTCTATGAGAGAAACATTATCATCTCCATTTTACATTTAAACTTTTCTTTGACTACCTAATTTCTAATGGCATTCATCTTATTCTTCCACTTGGCTATCTTACTAAGTTTCATCTTAGGGCTTACCATCACTCAGAACTAATCCTTCTTGGAAGTACTATACTAGAATACCTCACTCATGGTCTATAATCTCCTGCCTTCCCAGTCCTTTATTCAATTACCACCATTATACCTATTATTTAACCTCATGAGATTACCTAGGCTCTTTTGCCCTGTCTCTCGGTCCTTGTATCTTCACTTCCTTCCCCATTCAGCTTAGTGCTATGGTGGTCACTTTAACCCTAGCTCTTATCCTAATTCCTTTCATTGCGCAAATACAGTAAAATATCCAGCACTGATAAATCTAACTGACCATCGCAGCCTTGCCCATTTCTAAACTCTTGAACTCAAGCTGCTCAGCCTGGTGTCATAATATATTTATGGTATCAACTTCAACTGGATCCTCAGCACTGACTGACAGGATTACTGACTCCTTTTGTGTTTAATAGTCAGTTGGCTCTCTAGTTCTCTACAGCAATTCTTTCAGACTTCCTTTATTCTCATCAAACTTCTGATCTTATTTCTAAGAAACAACAGAAATATATAACTTTCTGCCATAGATAAGAAAACTAAAAGTCAGAGAGGTTAGGTAAATTGACCAAAGTCTACATAGTAAGGAGCAAAGCAAATCAGTCTGACTCCAAAGTCCACAATCTTAACATCTACATGTTATAATGTCTCTCATTTTTCTTTCTCAGTTTCTGTCATTCTATCAGTTCTTCAAGGCTAAAACATAGGCTCCATTGGTTGTTTCCTCACCTTCATTATCAAGAAAGAATCATGTGTGTATTCTTCTATCTTCATAGCACTTTCCTAGAACAAGACACCATCATGCACTTGAATCACAGCAACAGCCTTGCTCTGACTCAATCTACTCTCTACACTGAAATAATGTGAATGATCTCTCCAAAATGCAAACCTATCTTAGCCAACTTAACTCCTTAGTTTAACTCTTACTAACTCTTTCAAACTCAATCTTTTAGACTATAGGTTGGCAAACTCTTTCTGTAAATGGCCAGATAACAAATATTTTAGGGTTTGTAGTCATATGATGTCTGTCCAAAGACACCATTGTTGTTGTTGCAGCCTAAAAGCAAACATAAACAATACATAAACAAAGTTTTATGTTCCAATAAAACTTTGCAAAACAGACAGTGAGCTGGATTTGGCCACAAACTAGAGTTTGCCAATCTCTGCTTTAGACATACTGCATGAGTATTCCATTAACATTAAGTACTTTCTATGGGCTAAACACTGTGTTAATGACAAAGGTTACAGTGATGAGCAAAATAGACATGTTTCTTGCCCTTCACAGAACTTAAAATTTAGTGGGGAGGGAGATATTAATTTTAAAAATTACATAAATATATAAAACTGCTACTGTTAAGTGCCAGAAGGGTAAAAGAAACAGTTCTATGAGAGCCTGTGATAGCTGGATTTGACTAGACACAGGGATCTGGAAGATTTTTTCTGAGGAATATCATGATTTCAATGAGATTTAATGAGGGGAGGTAAGAGAGAGGGATCGGCATTTGGATAGATGCTGCAATAGGAAAAAGCCTCACTCATTTTTGGATCTGAAAAAAGGTTGTTATGTCCGGAATGGCAAAAACAATGAGGCTAGAAAGGGAGGTAGGGATCAGATCATGAATTTTGGGCCACAGTCATGATTTTCATCTTTATCTTAAGTGCAATGGAAAACCATTAAAATATTCTAAAGAAGGGATGATATGTTAGATATATATAGCAAAAAAAAAGAAAACACATTTTGGCTTGTTTACCACTAAATTCTCAGCACCTAGTTCTATATCTAGCAAACTGTAGAGATATTATGCAGAGAACGTATAAAAAGTAGAAGCAAAAGTAAATGTAAAAATACTTCTTAAGAAAATATCCATTGTTTAGGAGAGATAATAGTAACTTACATTAGCGCGATGAAGAGGAATCTATGAAAAAGACAGATTTTTACAATAAAAAAATCAGGAGGATTTAGTGATAAAATGTATTTGGCAGGAAGAGGTGAAGAAGAGAAAGATATCAGAAATGCATTGAGAAGAAGAACACTGGAAGAAGGTCAGGTTTGGTGGGGAAATAAAAGAGTGTGATTTTGGGGAAGCTGAACATGAAATAACTTTGAGATATCCCAGAGGAGATTTTAAATAACCAGATGGGCATATGGATTGGAATCAGAAACATCTGGGCTACAGATATAAACCTGCTAAGGAATGTTGTGCCTTGGAATACATGGCTATGAAGATGTAAGAGAACAATGAGGGGCCCGGGACAGTATTGGAGTGTTCTGTCATTCGATAATTAGTCAGAAAAGGATGAACCTGGAAAAAAAAATGAATGTCCAAAAAGAAAGGAAGAAAGTCAGGAAAGTGATGTGACACAGAAGTCAATAGAAGAGAGTATTTCAGGAATGAAGGTGAGGTCAACAGTATTAATGCTGCTAAGAACTCAAGAAAGAGAAACAATGAAAAATGCCCACTGGAATTAGTGACGTGGGAGCCATTTGTTACCTTTCAAGTTGCTAAAACTCATTATGGTTTCCTCCTTAGGACCTCAACTTTTCCCCCTACCTGCCCTTAACATTGTAGGATCAGTAAGATTTCCATAGCAAAGTTTTGGATTTGGGGGTGGGGTGTGGATCTATAGAGGGTTGAAAAAAATGGACTTAAAGAGAAAACAAACAAACAAATAGGCAACTTAGACAAACGCAGGAAGTCAAGCATTTACAATCAAGGACAAATAGTAAAAAATGGTACACTATATATAAAGGCAGCTTTTGTTGGGGTGAGGCTTATAAATCGTGGCTGATTGAGATGAAGGCTGAGGAGAAAAGTATATATACTCTTACTTTTAAACAGTGAACAATATATTTCATTCTCTGTTTAGCCATAATCACTGAGGATTCTATCAGATTTCGGCAATTCCTTTGCTCATGTATTATACAGTACATTCTAGAGTCGCAGAGTCCTTTTCTCAAGAATATGAAAGTAAATGATAAATTATATGTGAAATCATCAAGCATAATTCCTAGCATTTACCAGATATCTAGTATGTTTATCAAATTTGAATCTTTAATGATCCAAATCTATTATGAACTAATTTCAGGACATATTTTTTAAATTTTTTTATTAAAATATAGCTGGCATACAATATTAGATTAGTTTCAGATGTACAACACAGTGATTATGTATCATATACCTTATGATATAATCACCACAATAAGTCTAGTAACCATCTAGTAATCACAGAAAGTTCTTATGATATTATTGACTATATTCCCTGTGCTGTGCATTACATCCCCATGACTTATAACTAGGAGTTTGTACCTCTTATTTTCCTTCACTTTTTTCACCAACCCACACCTCCTCCCCTCCCCTCTGACAATCATCAGGACAAGTTGTTCTTAACCCATACACAGTGAAAATTTTATTACCTTGAATATCATCATTGAATGTGCAATATTGGTTTTGATACTTGTTCAGGAGACGAAATGCATTTATATTGGCGAAATCTTCAAACTGAATAAGGCAATTCATGCCATACCTATGGGACAAAACATGTTAGAGTAGGTTAATAAAATAACATTTAAAAATAAACATTAAAAGTAGCCTACAGGAAAAGCAAAACATTATTTTCTTTTAAAGGTCCTTTCTTGCTACTTATTATAAATATGTAATATAACGTCTCTTCAGGAAATATTTACTATATGCTTACTGCAGAAAAAGCATTGTGTTTACTCTGTGAAATTATACAAAGATAACAAAAATAGGCTCCCTACCATCAAGGAATTTAAAATTTAATAGAAACTAAAATATTTTGAACAAATGAAAAGTAATATAAAAGTGGTATGTACAAGAAATTATAATGAGAGGTCGGATATCACTTCTGACTGGGGGCGCACGCAAGGTAACAAATGAACTGAGTTATAATGATTTCAAAAGTTGAGACATAGGGTTTTACAAGTTGAGTAAATAGCAGAAGCAAATTAATTGAGGTGGAAGTTAGATAAGAAAATATTGATCACAAAATGTTAAGAAGTCTGATTTGGCTAAAATATGGTGATACATGTAAGGGTGCAGTGAAAGATAAGGTCAGAATTTTATGCTGGAAACCTTAAAATTCGAGCCTAGGATTCTGGTTGTTATTTTCTATCCATGGAAAAACAATGAAAGGCTTTGAAGTATACAGGATGGATTTTTATTTCTGAAATTAACTTACTTGTCTGATCCTTTATTCATATGATCATCTATCTACCTATCCAACCAAGACAAGGAAAATTAAAATTATTGATAACTCGAGTATCTGAAAATTGCCAAAGAAAGTCATATAGCCATGACTATCCTTACTACTACAGATTTATGGTCTCCAACCTCAGCTAGTCTCCCACTGATGCCCTATTTGTGATTCCTTTTATTTGTCCTCGGTCAGGTTCCACTTCCATTACACTCAATGGCTATTCCTAACTTTCCCCAATTCTTTTAAATTTTGACCTCTTTACTTGTCTTTTACTTTCTGAAATAGTGTAGGCATAATGCATAGTCGCCCTCAACTATTCTCTCTACCTCCCCATCTCTATCTTCAGCTCTATTCTTCAAGCATCAGTGGACAAGGTGTTCCTCTTGTTGGTCCAGGTAACTGATCACTGGTTCCCACATTCTCTCTCCTTCCTTCTCAATTAGCTCCCTCTCTCAGTGTATAACTCCTGCTTCTGGATAAGTTCCTTCCTCGTATGTGATAACTGAGTTTGAATCTCTCATTAAAGGGAAAAAGTTCTCTCTCGATCAGATGTTTTCCTATCTTCAATATAATGTGCTTGAAATAGTAGTTCACAGTTGGTCTCTTATTTACTTCTCAATCCTCTACAGTTTACCTTTTGCCCTCATAACTCTACTAGATTGCTGATCTAAAGTTAAAATATTTCTTGACAAAAAAAAATCCAATGAACACTGTTTGAATTCTTAATTTATTAGAGCTCTTTGCTGCATAGCCACTAATTCTGTTTGTTTTTTTTCTAAAACTCTATTCTCTAGACTTCTGTGAAACCACACTTTTCTGTTCCTTCTCCTAAACCACTAGTCATTTCTTCTTTTTCTCTTGTAAAGTCCTTAGCATTTAAACACTGGTGTTTCCCACAACTCTATCCTTGTTCCACTGTCTGTGTGTATCCTGACAGACTCTCAATCACGTCCACAGTTTTAATCACCTACTATATACACTGACTCCCAAATATGCATTTCTAGTCTACTTATGTGAACTCCAGACTTGTATATCTCATGGCCAGCAGGATAATTTTATTTGATTGTACTTCAAACTGAAAAGTCCAAAATTAAACCTATAAGTACTCAAAAAATAATAGTTTGGTTAATGTAATTTACAGATATTTTCTCATTTAATCTCAAGGTACAATTTTATAGAAGAGGGAAGCCTTGAGCAATTGGAAAATTGAGGAGGGGAGAATTGCAGAGTTTCTCAACTATTTAGCAAGAAACAAAATCAAGATCCTTTCATATTAATTTTTAAAGAGTAGGCACTAAGGTTACAGAAGTTTTCAATATCAATAGTTTTTGTTAATGAAAGTACTATAAAACTTCAATACGTTTCTCTTTTGGTTGAATTCTCAAATACAAATGGAAATTTCCAAATGTAAATCAATTATTTTTATAATTTTTCTTCATGTTTAACTACCCCTTCTTTAAAAATATTTATTTTCTAGTTAATTAAGAAAATATTCCTATGAAACTACTATTTTTTTTCTATCAGCATTTGAAATTTCTTTCCTTTCCTTTCTATCAAAGTCCTTTTGGAAATGTTACTTATGTGCTCACAAGCTTTTCTACACTAGTCCAGGTGGCTAACAGGCACATGAAAAGAAGTTCATCGTTACTAATTATTAGAGAGATACAAATCAAAACCACAATGAGATAAGATCTCACACATGTTAAAATAGCTATTATGAAAAAGACAAGAAATACCAAATGTTGGAGAAAATGTGGAAAAAAGAGTACTCTTGTACACTGTTACATTGTTAGTGGGATTGTAAATCGGTACATCTATTTATTTATTCCTCAAAAAATAAAGTATTTATTCCTCAAAAATAAAGTATTTATTCCTCAAAAAATAAAAAATAGAACCACCATATGATTCAGTTATTCCATTTCTGGGTATTTATCTGAAGAATACGAAAACACAATTGAAAAGATATATACACCCCTATGTTCACTGCAGCATTATTTACAATAGCCCAGATATGGAAGCAAACTAAGTGTCCCTTGATGGATGAATGGATAAATAAGATATGGTATATACAACAGAATACTACTCAGCCATAAAAAAGAATGAAATCTTGTCATTTGTGACAACATGGATGCACCTGGAGGAAATGATGCTAAGTGAAATAAGTCAGAAGGAGAAAGACAAATACCATATGATTTCACTCATATGTGGAATCGAAGAAAAAAAAAATGAACAAACAAAATAAAACAAAAACCAATTCATAGATACAGAGAACAAACTGGTAGTTACCAGAGGGTAAGGGGGTTGTAGAGTGAATGAAAGGGGTAAAGGCTGTCAATTGTATGGTGATGGATGGTTGCTAGACTTTTGTGGGGAATTACTGTGTAGTGTATATAAATATCAAATTATAATGTACACCTGAAACTTATATAATTATAAAAAATAATTATACTCTCGCAGTAAAAAAAAAAGAAATATGTTAGTTCAAATAAAAAGAATTAGAAAATTTCTGTACAAGCAAGGAATAGTTAATAAAATATGAATTAATAGGAAGAAGTTAATGGTCTAAAAGTTCTATTGCCAAGATCTTAAATTCTAAAATACTCTCACTCTCGGTCTCTAGTCCCATCTTCCATCTCTTTCACCAACTTCTTCTTAAGCACATAATCTACTCTTCATCCTGATCTTTGCTTTCCTCCTAACTCACTCCGTTTTGCTTCATTTCTGTATACCAAAGACAATGATTTCGGCAGGGCATTGCCAGTTTTCCTAGACTCCCTTGTCCCTTTGCTTTCCTTCATTCTGAATAACTCCTTCACTCCACTTAGCACATAAAACCGATGCTACCTATTCTCAGAGAGGATCTTAATCGAGTCCTGCAATATTTGTTTTCATTGCTTACTGGTCGATAACATGCTCCCAAAGCAGCTTTCGCAAACCTTTTTTTAGTCTCCTTGTCCCACAAGCACTCACTATCTTACCAGTCACTACCACGCTACGATGAGAGAACAACCTTAGCTTTCACAGTTCTATGCCCCATTTAAAAATCTTTGTACTTTTACTTCTTTTTTCCCCCTCTACTTTTGAGAAGTATTTTTGCTTCCTTGTTTCGAATCTCTCTATGGACTTACTGCTCAACTTTACTTCTCTATACTAACAGCTTCAATTTCTCCTTCCGCACTGGTCCCTTCCTGTCTCCAAGGATGCTCAGGACTCACTGATTTTAAAACCACATCTCTTGGCCATGATAAAATCAAAACTACAGTTTTTATCTTTCTTCCCCACCCCACTGCCAAACCTCTCAGAAAAGAGAACAATAAACCTTACCCCATTTCTCACTTCTTGTCAACATTATGCCTATAATTCAAAGACTGTCTCAAATCACCACATCTTGGTATCATGATGCAGATAAGCTCTCTCTCATCTGAGCCAACAAAGTACTTCATAAGTTATTTTTCTTCCATTGTGGTTATTAATGTATTATGTTTGTCCTTGATGGACTATCTTTTTTTTCCCCCCTGGGGCTTCAAGTGGACATGCTCTATTTTACTTTCTGGTATCGAACCAGTCCCTCTGTACTTATCCCTCTGTTCTTATATCAGCACTCAAAATCTATAATTTTTCAATTCATTTGTTAGTTGTTCACTTGCTTACTGTTTGTCTTTCTGTGAGGATAGGGACCCTATCTGTCTGGTTCTTTTATATTGGTCCAGTGTTTAACACAGTCCCTGAAACATAATAGGTGTTCAACAATACTTCTCTCTCTCTCAATTATATGTATTATGATTATAGATGTATGTATATACTCTCTCTGAACCTTTATGTACATATCATATATATAATCACACATATATATAATAGTATATATATTCGTACATGTGTGTATTGCATATATGTGATTTAACCTAATTTTATCTTTTTTAATCATCATAAATTCATAGGTGAAAATTGGTATCTAAATTTTTGTTTGTATTTTTTGAAGATTAGTGAAGCTTAGCATATTCGTCTATTGGTCCTTTATAATTTTTTCTGAAAAATTATATGTTCTTTGGTTCATTTTTCTATTCTTATGGTCCTTTTGTGTGTTTTTGTTTTTTCAGGTTGACACATTTTCTTTTTTTTTTTTAATTTACTGGGGTGACAATTTAATAGTACATCATCTGTTTATTGCATTGTGTATTCACCCAAAGTCAAATCTCCTTTAATTACCATATATTTGATTCCTTTTACCCTTACCTACCCCACATGTGGGACATAAAACTGAAAGCAACAAATAAAAAATACAAACAAACAAAAACTCATAGACATAG